CACACACACACACACACACACACACACACACACACACACACACACAACCCCCACCCCTTCAGGAGATGTCAGTTTTAGTCACTGCAACAAAGGTATTAGTGGTAATAACAATGCACCTCATCTGACATTGTAGCCAAGAGAAAGTTTCACATAGCCAAACACTGCAGATAAAGTAGAACTACAGTTGCATAATACCTCACAGCTTTTAAACTTAATATTTAAGCAATGGATAGAAAGAAAGAGGCACAGTCCAAGGTATGGAGATTAGAAGCTCTGGCAGCTGAAGAACACAAACAAGTTGGAGAAACTGATGTCTTTGCAACAAGCCTTATTAAAAGGACCACTGACATACCAAAATAACCAAGATAGTCCAAAAGGGGGAAATGTTGTTCAACTGATCAAAGCTAAACAAACAATTTCATTTTCAATTCTGAAAAGTCCATTGACTGCATGAAGTAATACATTCTGGTAATGAATCATGTTCAGTGAGGGATATAAACATCTGGAACCATTAGATAAGAAAGAGACACCAGATTACATAGTTTTAATCCACTGGAATGCATTGTCACTGGTAGATCATCTTCATCAATAGTAGCTTCCAAAAAACGTAAAGATTGGACAAATAACAGTTTCTTTCCTCTCGGAGTGCAGCACCATTCTGAACTGCATAAGATCACAGACCATTTGACAGCGTCAGTGAGAACATGCTAGTTCGTTGGATCCATTTGCTTTAGTCTGCCCTGAGCTTCGTGAGCTTAAAATAGTGATGTGCATTTCCATCACTACAAACAACATCCAGTAACAAAACCAGCAAAAAATAAAAGTGAATATCTGCTTGGCATTACTTCAGAAGAGACCATTTTATGTCACTTTTCAAGAGTGAAGCCTCACTCAAAAGATCAAAAAAATTATTCTGCCTATTCCTATTTACAACTTGCTAGGTGTAAGCTCTCATAATTATAAGGCATATCACATTTGTAAATATACATGACTAATCAATTTAATATGAAGCTCTCTTTCCATGTTGTTTTTGTTAATAAGAGTCACTAGGATGAGGGATTGGAGCTCTGTAGCATCAACTCAAGGTAAATACTTGAGGGAGAGGAGAATACTGAAGATTATACAGATGTGGTTAGCTGAAACAGCGAGTATAGGAGTAACATTATTGAATATTCAGACTTAACCCTATATTTGCGAAATATTTAAAGTTGGAGACAAACTTGCTGGAGTCAGCAAACTATAGAAAGAACTTAAACAAAAATAAAAATGCATCTAAATGGTTCACACCAACATTTTTCTGGGATCTAGGAATTACTGTGCTCTATTATGATAAAGCAATCAATTCTATTTAAAATATAATGTTCCCTACCTCTGACCTAGGAGGCCCAGGTTCACATCCCACTTGCTCCAGAGAGCTGTAATAAGATCTCTGAATAGGTTAATTAGAAAATATCTGAAGGCCAGGGTACAAGCTGCAGAAGTACTGAACTAATTAGGTCACTGACCTATTTTTCCCAATCAACTTATTCAGAGCTATTATTATACACCTCTGGAGCAGGTGGGATTTGAACCAGTCAGTGCAGATGCAATGGACTGAATGGCCTCTTCCTGCACTGTAAGGATACTATGATACTAGGTCAGGAATGTTTAAACCAAAAAAGGACACGGCCGCATGCCAGGGATCCAGGGATGGAGGAGCAATAGTATTGTTGTACTGTGTCGAAAGGCTGACTTCTACACTGGAAACATGACAACTTTGTAATAAATTCCTGTAAATCTATCAGTGTTAAGATAGGAAACAAGATGGAGTGTGGAGGAGGTGAGTCTAAAGCTTTTTTTCCCCTCCACATCTCAGAGACAAGGTTTTAACATCCCCTTGTGTGGCTTGGTGTTAATTTTTTTTTGGGGCTGATTATTTGCTTGTGGAGCACCTTGGGCTATTCTACAACATTGAAAAGGTGCCACATAAAATGCAAGTTTATTTTTGTCAGTAGACTTGTGGCAACTCAGCAGTGTTCAACCTATTTGCAGGGGATTAGGGAGAGGTGGAGGTGGAGGTGTGGGGAGGTCAGTCAGTGATCATAACAGCATTCACCATTGCTACTTTTCCAAAACTAACCCCAACACTAACCATTGGGCATGCACTGTTTACTGTGGGAATTCAGAAGTTGCAGGGCCACTCAGCCTTCTGACACAGGTTGCGCTATGGACAACCAAATCCCACCCTACCACCCCTTTAAATTTTCAATCTCAAAAGAAACAAAGAACATTTACAAAACAGTCTGATTATTTTCAGAAATAAACTACTTAGTGCCAACTTAATCTACGCTGCAGCCACAGTCAGCCCCGTGTGATCGATTCCTGAAGAGCACTGACAGGTTTGTCCCAATTAGCCAAAGGTTGTATTCGGTGAACCAACTCCCATCCAGACTGATTTCATTGAAGACTGAGGGCTGGCACAACGGAGGTACTCATCCAAGGTGAGGCAGATTCAAATTCATTTCAGAGGTTAAACAAAGCTACACAGCCAATTCACAAACTAGTGGCTTGCTGACATCTTTTCTACAAACGTAACTCACTCATTTTTCATGATCTGCTGTAAGAGACGACAAAAAAAAAAAAAAAAAAAAAATATTCTAAGTATAACCCCTGACCCGCCTTTGTAAAGCGAGATCTCCACTTAATTTTTCCATGCGACACATGGCAGTGTTTCATCCACCTCTGGCCATAGCATCTCCACTTCACAACAACAGTAGGGCATTTATCAATAGTCAACAATCAGAAAATAATTAGGGGAAAATTTACATTATTCAAATATGTATATCAAAACAGAATGCAGTTCTTTCCACTTGAGGGACTGTCTCTTCCTCCACTTTGGAGCCTGATGGAAATCCAGGGATTCGGACCAGATGTAGGCCTCACACCATTTCAAGGACAGTCGCCACTTCCCGGAATTGCTTCGAAAAATTCTGCAAAAAGCCAAAAATAAAGTTATTTGGAGGACAATACCAGGCAGGGATAGGTAGAGGAGATAGTAGGAACTGCAGATGCTGGAGAATCTGAGACAACAAGGCATAGAGCTGGATGAACACAG